CCTCAACACAGTTTACAAATCACATAAAGAGCGACTCCCCCACCTTGGCTGCCAACGTAGCGATCGCATCTAAGCAGTGCGTAGCCAGGAAAACCTACTTCACCGTCTGTGATATCCGGGGACAGTCACGTTTCGTTGATAGCAAGTATGTCGGGACGAGATTTGTCTACAAGTAGACTCATATCTTGTACCTTGTTCCTTAGGCTACGCACCTTACTAATCACTACCTAAAGGAACTCGGCGCGAACACCCCTGGGTCGTACGCTACCAGGAGGGTTTTTGGTAAGGCAGAATTTGATTTCCGGCTGACCACTTGAAAACCCACAAAACGAAAGCCTTGCTTACCAGCCGCCCGCCTGCTCTTGAGGCTTATGATGGCTTCCTTTAACTTCACTCGATCAGCCAGTGGGAGGTCCGGCTGAACGCTGGCATTAATACCCTCGAGTTTGAATGCAAAACGCATTAATGATTTGCGTTCCTCCAGGGTTAAGAGGACTACACGAAGTAGTCGGGGTCGCGGATTTGGCGTATCTACAGGGACGTTCTTCAAGCTGGTTAGTTTCCTGATAGTGACGCCGGGGAAACCAGGTGGAAGCATCTTGTTGACGCAGAGTTTGAACCACTGGAGGTAATCCAGCACGCGTTCCTTCGGAAGAGCTGCCGCGGATTCAGCAACGTTACGAAAGATAACGCTGCTATCAGTAAAAGAATCACCTTGACAAGGCGTATTCACTCCACGAGTCTTCGGCTCGACCCCAGCTTCGACCGGTTTGGCAGGTAACACGGCGCGTTTCTTCGCCAAGGGAGCTGAAGTAATTGAGGTTGAGGCTTTGTGCTCTACCTCCAACTCCCTCATCAGTCTAGTCTTTTCAGACTTTGCGGGTGTGGCTGAAGTCGACCGGTGGTTTTTAGTCATGTGCAGAAACTAGAACATTCCGGGACGTTCGAAATCGATGATAATCGTTAATAATCGATTAATCGCTAAAACAGTGGATTTCCTAGGCAATTCTTACTTTCTGCCGGACAATTTCAAGACATCATTCGACACGAGTAAGCTTGTGTCCAAGCCATAGCAGAACGTGACACAATCGGTGACGATTTGCGTGCCGAATGGTATGCGCGTCTGGTTTGCAACCAATAAGGTCACCGGTTTGACTCCGCGTAGGGGCGGGCGTCCTCGCGGTATACTCAGCCCAAACGCGACTGGTTGTGGTCACGTGGCAGCGAAGCGCCGTTACGGCGTACAGCTGGCCATTTATTATATTATTATTATTATTATTATTATTATTATGCGCTGTTTTTGTCCAAAGCGCCTCATTCGGCCACAGCCTACTTGACCGCCGGTCCCTCAGCGGTTAGCTTGCATTCCGGCTCTTTGCCTCTGTTTTGTTCCTGTCACTGAGTCAGGTAGAGCCGCCACCTCCGTTTACAAAAATAAGCGGCTAAGACGCGTGTCCAACCCGCTATAAGGTTGCTTGGCCTTTCATCAGATCCGACCTGAACTCCCTTTACCCTGTGGGTCATATGAAGCTCAGGCTTTTATTCCAATGTTCCTAGGTCGGCCGGTGGCCGAGTGGTCTGCGTCTTCGGCCGGTGGCCGAGTGGTCTGCGTGTTTGGTTTGCAACCACAAGGTCACCGATTCGAATCCGCGTAGGGGTGGGCGTCTTCGCGGTATGCTCAGCCCGCGCGTGACTTGTGGTGGTTGCGCGGCAGTGAAGCGCCGTTAAGGCGTACAGCTGACATGTTCCTAGGTCGCGGAAGTCAACCAAATGCTCTGGGATTTGCAAAGATCGTTCTGTAAAATTCTGCCGGAAGTCTTTAGTACGCTGTTCGATCCTAGAATATGGTTTCCCGGCCGCTTACCTCCTAACGAAATCTGAACATTGGCCGTCAAGGGGGGTGGTATAGCTGTTTATATGAGTTATCACTGACGTATTGGGGACCAGCGTTTTTCAGTCTCTCGACAAATCTGTTGAGGCTCTCGCAGTCTTGATTGGCGCTTCATTGGTTCAGGTTACGGCCGTGTTAAGGTATAGAAGCCCTGTGAGCACCTTAAATGGAATCATTGAGTTTATACACACTCACTCTGCGAACAAGTGTCTGGTGCTGTGAGACTTCCATTTCCCAGAGGTTTGTCGGGATGGTCTATCTTGCAGTTTGGCGCTGGGATCGTTCGGTGTTGAACTGGTGGACTTAACGCTACAGCTAACCAGCTCGTGGACCTCCCCACTAGGTACATGAGAAATCAGCAGCCGTCCATATTGTATCTTGTTTTTGCTAAGTCACTTGACTTTGTAAATGACATTAATTGCGACTCACCTCCTGGCGATAGCGATCACGTTTGCTTGTGTTTCCAGTGTACCCTTATCAGGCCTTACCAAGCTACTACCGGTTGGTATCCGAACATTTGGGCCGCGGGCTTCCAAGCAATGGGGGATAAAGATAGGTCATGGCCTTGTGTGACATCTGAGATCGCCACTGTTCACATAGCTTGGGAAAAACTTAGGGCTCACCTCGTCGACATTTCTGCACCTCACATCCCACTGATTTAAAGAAGGAAATCGAGAGCGCAGCCTCCGTGGGTAGATTCCGCGGGGAAGAGCTTGCTAAAGAAGCGGTCTGGATGCTGACGAGCGTATCGAACAGCACGTTTGATAAGTATCGGTTGGTTCGAAATGAGTGCAAGTTACATCTTAGATTGGGCTGGATTCAGTATGAAAAGGGCTTGGATGATACTGCCTCGACAAATCCCAAGAAATTCTTCCCTCACGTTGACGCTATGGTGCAGGCTCGCCCATACCGCCATTGCTTCGAGGAGATGGGACCCATGCCTTTAGCGACTATGACAAGGCATGCGTGCTTGGTAAGCAGTACACAATCGTCTTTGTCCGCGAAACCAATACGCCATGCAGAGAACCAGCTTCAAGAATCTCCGAGGATTTGTCTGGATGAAATTCCTGTAACTGAGTCTCACGTTCTCCGGTTGCCAAGAGAAGTGAACCCAACTATGGTCCAGATTCCGGTCCAGATTCTGTTGTTGCACGAATTGGCAGTGGAACTCAGTGGATCTCTGACTTTTGTGTTTCATAAGTCACTCAACAGCTGTGTGTTACCTAGCGAGTGGAAGGAGGCTGTTGTCTGCCCGATTTTCAAGTGCGGTGACAAAGACCTGCCGGCTAATTACAGGCTTGTCAGCTTGACTAGCGTGGTCGTTAAGGTACTTGAAATATATATATATATATATATATATATATACATATATATATATATATATATATATATATATATATGTATATATATATGATTAACGGCATCCGGTTTCGGATTTTTCTTTCACTGTGGCCAGACACAGGACACCTATGCCTACAGAGGCACCATGGATGGCTTGTGCTGCACCACCCACAGCTCCAACCACACACCTCATATCCAGTGTAAACCCGAAGGAATAAGACTGGGAGGTATGTGGATGGGAGCCAAATTTCCTCAACCGAGCCGGCCGACACTCCCTCACAGGCAAACACAAGCACACTGTAGTTGGGGAATCAAGCTCACACAAGACGGTGGCTGGACCGTAGTCCGCTCCACACTGAGTGTATGGAACCACTCTTCGAGTCTAGCACGACCATAAGGACCGTGCACCCAGTCCCCTCCAGCAACGACCAACTATCTCTTAGAGACAGTTTCGACGACGTAGTGGGTAATAGACAGGTAGACACCTTGTCAACGTGCACATCAAGCGCAGCCGCACCGGGGATATCAAACAACAGCCAATCACTTGAATCGACGAGATGAACTAAAATATATCGCGTAATGCAGACAGATACAGTGGCATAACTCTTCCATAAATTAGCATATGAAGTGGGTTGGTTAGCAACGAATCCGCGATAAGGAAAATAATGCCCACAAATTACTTAAAAATGCTCAAAAGCAACAAGGTTACCGAAGCTATGCGCAGTTAGCGTAAGCACCGTGGCCAGTTAATAGAACATTATTCAGGTAAGCAGAACAAACCAAATAAAGTGGAATGAAATTTGTCCAGCTTCGAAGACCTTGTTTGAGTATAGGTTGGTTTAGCCCAACTGCAATAAAGAAGTATCATGATTGCAGCATCAGCCTCATCATGTGGAATATATATATATATATATATATATATATATATATATTGTCGAGAAGACTCGAAACTATATTGTACTCTAGGAAAGAGTGAGATTGCTTTTCAGTCGTCCAAGCCAGTGCCAGTCAAGCTGGGGGAAGATCATAGGTAAGCGTTTATGAGCACCCTGTGATCATTTTTGTAAAGGAGCACTGAAGCCTTTTCTGGGCCTTTCTATCTGTCTTGTTTATGTGGCTATGTATTAAGCTGCATTACCATAGTGTGGGTTACACTGCCAGATTCCGCCCCACGTGACTTCACTGCGCCATGAGTAACAGCCGCGGAGCTGTGTGATTGACAGTTTACTATGACATAGCCCGGCTCATCTTCAACTGCTATGCCGGTTACGAACTGTGCAGAGGACTATGGCTAGCCTCACGAGCTTGGACTTTCCGCATAGCGCCAATGCACCGCGCAGGACTTAGAAGCTATACGGACAGATTTTATTTATTAGTGTTTTTCTTCCCATTCCTCTGTGTTGCATCTTTGCTCGTCTTCATTTCACTTCTCATGCAGTGCTATACAAATGAATTCGAAGTTAGGCTTTTTAATTTATAGGGTCATTCTTCGTCCAACCGGACAACAATACACTAAGAACTCGTCGACTTATCAGATGGAATGTATTCGCTGTGCTTCATCTGTATGTATACGCGAGCGCCATAAACCTACAAAGTATAAATACCGGCGATTATGGACACCATGACATTTTTTCAGCTGTTACAGGTAGTTTATCTGTCTCATATCTTCTATGCTTTTACCTTTTCTAATCTCTCCTTGCATTAATACACCATCTGTGTTGTTTTCTCTCCATCCGTCATCATAGTTAATTTTCCGTTCTCCTTTTCAGTGCACTATCTTTTCGTTTTGATCGCTGAACTTTGCGCGCTAGTCCGGACCGCATATACCAATGGCTCCTGCTGCCTTATCTGATCTCTATTACAATCTCAAACGCGATCCGGAAACTTACAGAGCCGACGTAATTCAGTTGCCTCTTTTATTTCTCAGTTTGAAAGGTATTACGAAAACTACCAGGCACTCGAGCAGTCGTTCACTTGTGCCCCTTCCCAGTGCATCGAAAAATTAAAGGACCTGCTCCTTTTCTTATCTCAAGTATTTCCCGCTTGTTTCTCTCATCTTCAGGTGGTAAATTTTTACCCAAATTTTACTGAATGTTTTTGTAACAGTGTTATGCATACACTGATTTCACGCTCTTTCGGCATGCACCCCGTCATGCGACAGGTATTACTTATCTCTAGCTGTTAATGCTTTAGGCTTTCATGAAAGCACTGATGCGGCTTAGAACGAAAGACCTTATCCCTGCGGACAGGTGCATCGATGTGGCTTTTAGGCTTCATCGCTGTCAAGATAAAGAAGTTAGGTTAACAATGAGGAATTTTGTCGTCTATGATATCAAGCGCATAAATCGACGTCAGAAAGCCAACAAGTTGAACTCAGTACTTTCTGTTATTTCATTAAACTTCCGTTCTAGACTATACAGTTGTACTTGTCAAAAACACTGAAGGATAACAATCCTACTGTTGCCAGAGAAGCTGTTTTCGTCCTCGTCAGATTGTTCAAGAAAAATGTGTGGAACGATGCCCGCACAGCAAATTTGCTGGCAGATGCATGCTTGGCGAAAAGGAAAAAAGTATCCGTGCTTTCATTGGAATTTACTTTTAGGTGTATTCACCAGCTGTTCGTTTTTTCCTCGGGCAAGACAAGGTACCGGAATGGAAAGACAGTGATAGCGATTCCGAATCGGACACGGTAAGATACGATCCCATACTTTCACGGGATCATCCAAATGTTTGATTTTGTGCTACATTTATAAATAACTATATACCTAAATGAGTGTATTTCCTGACGGTCGTTACATCTTTTTGTGGTACTATCATTTCTATCGCGAGTTTTGGCAACATTTCCTTTATGAACCTGTATTTAACATGGATCAGTAATGCAATTGTTTATGTCGTATGTAATAAGTGGCAGATTAATGTAAATCTATTTCCTGCCTCAGCGGCATAAGCTGTTGGCTGGTGGTTCAAGCCGCTGATAGTCATGGGTTCGAATCCTGAGGGATCTGCTAGGTGAACGCTGTTGACGAGACCCAACAACTCGAACCTGCAGTCTAGTGCTTTTCAGAATGTGTGGATGACTATCGGATTTGGAAACGGCTGTGATTAGTTCTCATTTAACAAATCTAGTTTTCTTAAATGTTTTTTCGGGTCGGATTCCGCAAGCGTACTTATAGATTGCCGAAGCCTGAAACGTTTGACAAAATTTAGCACGGAATGCAAATTATTTAGATGATATCTAATTGTAGACGATGTCTCGCTGATCCTTAATTGCAACTGTAGCTTATTCCATAAAGGAGCATGTTTCATTAGGAAGAATTTTAAACGAGTCCTTTGTTTGGCCTTTTTCGTGAATAGTAAACATCGCCCATTACGGATGGGATAGGGTATTTCGTGAAGAAACAGTCGTACTGGTCGAGAAGACTCGAAACTATATTGTACTGCAGAGGAGAGTGAGAGTGCTTTTCAGTCGTCCAATCCAGTATCAATCAAGCTGGGGGCAAGATTATAGGTAAGCGTTACTGAGCACCCCGTGATCATTTTTGTAAAGGAGCACTGAACCCTTCTCGGGGCCATCCTATCTGTCCTGTGTATGTGGCTATGTATTAAGCTGCAATAGCATAGTGTCGGTTGCACTGTAAGTTTGCATGATTCAGGCCGTGTTTTGGATAGCAAGAATGATCTAGTGATGTAGCTTGTTAGTTGATTTGCTTCCGCTACTTGATGTAGCATGTGTTCGGAGATGTTGAAGCCCCTGGAGTATCGGATTCCCAGGTCACGAACAGCATACGCAGTTGGGATGGGTGTACCAGTAATGGTATACTGCATCGGTGGCAGAGTATCTGAGATTTTACTGCCGAGAACCTCATAGACCTGCTTTCACTCTAACTGTTTGGAGATGATAGATCACTTATATATGTTATGTTGTGCCAGATAGTCAGGTAAGAATGAGTACACTGTGTTGATGGGCGCTATTGTCGAATATAATCATCTATATCGTTTATGTAAATGAAGAAGAGCATTGGACCCAATGCACTCCCTGAACGACACCACTAATGATAGCGATACTAGATTGGATACATTGGTCAACAATTTGTACGACTAATCATGCACAAGTGTCCGTAATATGTTATTCGTTTCAGCAACACTACTGGGTGTCTTAAGTAATGAAGCTGCGGCAGTGAACGAGCCTTTCACCGAATCTGGATTCTTCAGCCGATGGTATCCGACGAGAGGACAAACGTTTGTTTTATTATGCTCACGTTGAGGACAAGTGGGCAATCAACCCGTCTTTATGACCACATTTATTTGCGATGTTGATGCACTCGACGCAATGACCAAAGGCATATTCCTCGTACAAATCCCTTTGAATGATTGCTTTTGGGTGGTTCAGCTTCGAATCGACATCCGAGTCAGCAGGAAGCATCAGGAGACGCGATGTCCTTTTAGTCCAACCATTTGTCTTGGCTGATGGCAGTTTTGACATCTTGAGAACCAAATTTGATTGGCTCCTCCAATTTTTCAATCTTGCGTTTTGATATTTTTGGGCGATCCTCAGCAACCAAATATTTTGGTGATTATCGTTGAACTAACTGCTCGAATTCTGGGTAGGAGCAATCCTGAGGCTGGCACTTCTCGTCGGTCTTTTTGATTTAATATTAGAAGCTTGACCTTCATGCGCCTCTGTCCGAAACTCACTACCTGATGATAATCGGACAATAGACTGTCCCTTACTCCGGTCCCCCACGTTACCATCGGCTGCGGATGACGCACTTCAGTTCATGTTCGTTAGTTGATCTGCACTATTTTCCTAGACTCCGACCGCGCTCGATCACAGTCACCGCTTCGACCTCACAAAATCACCAAGCTTCGAAGTGAATTGAATGTCACCGTCAACTGCCACTACCTAACCGGGTTATAATGTCTATTATCACAAGCAGACGAGCCGGATTGCAATTGAAATCGCTCCAATACGAGCCGAATGAAACCCCAGCGACCATCATTCTGTCTAGTTTTGGGGTGTTCAAATAGTGGTTTGTTTTTGAACTTTCGCTCGAACTGTTTGAGGAACACAGGCTAACCATGTACAATCATTTTTAGACTGTGCGCAACCCTTTGAGACTGCAACTGACTAATGTTCTCGGAATCGGTCGTGAGCACTGAGAGAGAGAACAAGAACCTATGAAATAACACAGTCGAGTACCCTTTAGCGCCCTCGAATCTTTGCTCTTTAGAAGATTTCAGTAATGGATGCAACGGTTAGACAGTCAATTCGTTGCCATCCCCATCGATTTAAATATCAGGCGGAGCATTCCGAAGGACATTTCAGTATGTTCTATTTGTGGCCACCGTTTCCCGAATTATCGGAGCCAATTTCACATGGTCTATCAGACAACCGTCAAACATTTGATAACACGTATACGCATACGTGCCAGGACTTCTGTTTTGCTCCAATTGAAGCTAGGTCCTTCTTCATCTACCTGCAATGTGTTCGTTTTATGACCAATCGTTCAGTAATGATTTTATCCAACTCCATAGTCGATCACTGATTCCATGGGACTCAAGCGTGGTCAATAATGCTTTTTGTGGTGCACAGTCAAACGCCTTTTGCATATCCAGAAGGATGATAATAATGGCGCTGCCACCATTTAAGGTTGCTGCAACATGATCGAGGATTTGCAATTGGCATGTCACACATGAACGTTGGAAACTGTTGAGTAGGTTTTCTCTTGTCTGCATTTGTGTTACACGGATCTTGATGATTCTTTCTATGGCCTTAATGGCGGAGGAACTATGGTTTATCGGCTGATTGAGTGACATTCGATCTTGTGGACCGCCTTTGTGTTTCGGCATAATTATGGAATGTTTTCACTGAGACGGGAAGCAGCCAGTGTTTAATGGCAATGTAAAATGTTCAACATGTGGAGAGGTATGTTTTTGCAGGGGCATACTATCAGGTCTTTGTTGCAATGTCAGTTTGATTGTTGTGATAGTCATCTGTACGTCCTTTGGAGTCGGAGGAGTTGTAGATTGTACCTCTTCCGTTTTTCTCTGAAAGAGAGTAGAGAATACGTATGCTTCAGTAGTAAACGAGGCAGCAAAGTAGGAATTCATTAAATCATGTATTTGGACTATATCATCTGTTGACGTTCCGTCGTTCAAAAGTGGGTTTAGAATTTCATGGTGTGGTTTCGGATTTCTTCTTCCAAGTAACTGTATCAGGGCACGAGTTTTCTCTTTATTCTTGATGGCTCGGGTTTCCTCGGCCATCCTGGACTGTTAAGTTTGGAGTCCAATTTTCATTAAGGTTTCATATATTTGAATTGATGTGACATTGTCTTTGTTTTTGCAGTGCAGTGATCTTAATCTCCTTAGCTTGAAAGCGACTTTGGAAGAGTGTTTTTATCGGCCATCAAAGGGGTCTGTGTTTACCGTCCTAGATGTTAGAACGCGCATACATCTGATGATATCTTTCGTGAATTCGCCTACTGCTATAACCGAGTCTGTCGGGGTGAAGAATCGATACCAACACAAACTCCTAAGCAGCTTGTCACACTTGCGCCAAGCAATAAGGTGTAATCGGTGTACTGGCTTCCTCATTGCTCTGGACTTTTCAGATGGCCAGATATTCATGATGTACAGCACCGCATTGTGCTCATATCCTATTAGTGCGTCATCAGTTAATACACAGATGGAATATGCATCGTGAAGACCCGATCGAAGATGTTATGTAACCCGGTGGGCTGCTTGACGTGTTGAGTCCAACCATTGATATGGACACATTTTCCACAAGTCCTCCAGTTGTTGTAGGCCTATACGACATCCAATTTATATTTGGCAGAATTAAATCTCCACATAGGTATCTGTGCTTGTATGGAGTCTTGGAAGCAACATTAGTGATTAACATTAAGTGCTGAAATTCGCGGTGAGTGATATCAGGAAGTCTATAGATGCAGCGCAGTAGTAGGTCGTAAGCCGGAATGGTCAACCATAATTAATCGTCCAAATCACTGAAGACGAATTGGTCAGCTGAGATTGCTGTTATGCCATGGCGTATGTAGATGACACAACCACCACGGCGTTTGCGCAGACGACCCTCCCGAAACAACGGATAACCCAGAACATTCACTTGGGAGTTGCATATAGCACGTGTGCACCATGTTTAGAAGTTTTAAGGAACATGAACGTTGTAAGGAGATCCAGTTTTGGTAATAGGGAGCGTATATTTATAATGGCGGAATTAAGAGAAACAAATGAGGTAGGATGCACAGATTTGGTTATATCACACCCTCTGTCTTCATGGACGGTGTTAGTGTCCCACAATGAAATAACTGGGCCACGTTGTGCGTTACAATGTACTGGCTCCACCGAAGGAAATGCTGGCGCAACTGGGTCATCATTGGGTTTTGTGTGGCTGTATGTGGAGGCCCTATTGGTGTGGGCAGATGCTGGCCTGAAAAAGGATCTCCTAGCATAGAGTGAGACTGTTCCGTAGGAGGAAGTGACGCTGGAGGGTAGGTTAGAAACTGAGGCTGCCATTGGGAGATAGTGTGGGTGGGAGGTCGTATATCCCCATACGTATCTCCAGAGCTGTCATAAGACGCTTCGTTATTCGAATTAGAATCTCCGGACCTCAGAGCTCGGTAACAAAAGCTTTTGTAGGTCGGTTGGTTACTGTTGACCCCAGAAGCGGTTCCAATACCAAATACTGAAGTGAGACAGCGTGCAGTTTTCCTCCTCTGATTCAGTGAGCGTTTATCGTATCCCGGTGGAGGATGTTTATGTGTTATCGACTGTTGGGCGTTTCTATAGTGTATTTTAGGAAACGGCGCTCTGCGATGCCATTTATTTTTACTTTGTACCTGAGATAATTACTGTGATATTCATCTAAGTGCAATTCATCCGAATTTCCAATATTCCTAATCTCACGCCTAGCATTCTGGTTCTTAATTGGTGCCACCTAAGTTACGGGCTCGTTACCTGTGGTAGGGACATAATATGGCATTAACTTCTGCGGCGTCCGTAATAGTAGTTACGTTGTGTTGGTGCCAATTATCTCCAAGCCAGACCGGGTCAACATTATCATACTTCGTGGTTAGGCTTGTGAACTCGGTACTGGTGAGTAACTTAAGATAAGCGCGGCGTTAGTGATCTGTCAATGTCCATGTCGGTGTCAATACAATTGGTGTAAGTGCGAGCGTCTGAATGATTCACCTTACGTGCAAACCGCCTTTGTAGTGGCGTTTGCTCGCTCCTGAACAAAATGTTCTTACAGTCAACTCGGGTTGCAATGGTCCGTTTGCTATGTACAAAGTGTTCAGCCGTTACCTCATCCGAGAATTTAAAGAGGATGGCGCATGATCTCCTAATCCATTTTTACTAGAGCCTGAGACATAGACATTTAGAGTAACTCATATTGCGTGCCGCAAGCCAGATATTTTTGACTTTCTCCATACTCGATCTGTCAGGTATTTTAAAGACAACCACATTCTTTGATCTGCGTAAACCTTCCTGTCGGCCGCTGGCCGAGTAGTTTACAGTCTGACTTGCAACCATAAGGTCGCCGGTTCAAATTCGCATAGGGTTGGGCGTTTTCATGGTATATTCAGCCCGTGCGACTGGTGGTGGTCGCGGGGCAGCGAAGCGCCGTAACGGCGTACAGCTGACGCATTTTTAGTGTGTCTATTTTCACGTCCTTTGAGCTCCTAAGTAATGCACAAAAAGACCTGATTTGCTATTATTTTGCGCCCAAGCGCAGCAGTTCTGTTTTCAGTGACGTAACTTCTTTGTCAAGAGCGGTGATGCGGTTTTGCAATGCAGGTATTAAATCACTTCTGTCGTCAGAGCGGACAGCTAATGCTTCTCGTTTTTTTTCATTTTCATAGCTGAGGCACTTCTTGTTTTGGCGGCATTATCGCTGGAGGCTGCTACTGTCTTTTATTTTTTTCTTCCTCCTAGCTATGGCACTTCGCTCTTTATTAGAGCTAACAGACATTTCGGTGCATACTCCTTGCAGTTAATACTGGTTGCGAATCGAGTTATAGTATCAAAAATTGTATGTAGTATAGAATCCCACACTCAGAAAGTAGCCTACGTTGAGCAATTTAATATAAATGTGATAGAAACCCACACTTCTAGTTCTGTGTGCTGGTTGGTCGTTCAGTTTCGTTCTCCACCCTTTAAAGTCCGTGTGGCGATTTGCGTGACGAGCGTCTATCGATCCGCTAAGTCCGAGGTGCGGTGTGAGCGCAGACGTGGGTAGGCGGGGACGTGAACGCCCTGTCAGGTCGGCCGTCAGCTGTCACGTTGAAGCAAGTGCACCTGTCTCCTCTCTGTTGTGACCTTGGAGCGTTTGTAGGCAGAGTGCAGCTGTATATCCGTGTTGGGGTCACACGCTGGCGTGGTGGATGATGTTTAGTGGCCTGATCGATTGATCGCGCACGGTCAAGATGCTAGATACTGGCAAAGGGCAGTGCAGTATTACCGAAAGGCTGAGAGCGGTTCGCTGAAGGGAAAACGTGAATTGCTCTGTAGCTGTCCACACAGTGGTGAACTGGAACTATTGGGAGGTTATTCGAACGCCGCTGAGGTGCTCTATCAAGTGAGACTAATATTTGTTTCCGACGTTTGTCATTACACAAATTTTTGCGATTAGGTATGTATGAAGCACTGCTCGGAGTTAACATTTCCGAGTAAATGAATGATGAACTGGTAGTGTTCTCGAGAGAATGGTATCACAAGGAGGGGCTTGTCAGTTCAAGGCGAATAAGTATAGATCTAGTGGCGTGTGATTAAAGGCGGCGGACTAACGGCAAGAAAACCACGACTGCACGAATGTGCGACCCGCACGCAACTTAACTTCTAACTGACCGCCGGGTCTTCGATATAGGCTAATCGTAAGCACGTAGATGATGGCTTGGTTTAGACGTACACAATTGCTTGCGCCGCAACACCATGTGCATGTTGTCGATGGACTTGGTTGCACCGGTGATCGACGCTTGTGTAGCCGTCGTTTTTTCTCCCGATACAACAGTCCTTTCTGATACACCTGGGTGACAGCGTTCTTCATGTAGCCACGCCATTGGTGGTGATCCAATGCCATTAGTTCTCTAACTTGTAGTCCGTGATAACCTCACTTTGACCATGCCCTGATATTGTGGTTTTTGTTCGCCCATATTTCGCTCTCCTGATTCCCTAACTGCGCTACCAAACGATACTCATCCGAATCTCATTGGCTCGGTGAGCAAGTCGTCAACCAGGTTCCACTCTCAGGTACAGCTACCACAAATAAGGACATAACCGGTCGCGGAGTTCAGTGCTGGAGCAATCAATACCGAATGGACAAAAACACAGTTACAACATTATCGGGTTTCTTAATTTTTCCAGCATGTGCATCTTGTTGGAGCTCCTGATGGGAATGTTATGTAATAACGGAGCTCTGTCAACGATGTAAATATTTTTCCTCTTCCGCTTTTTGTGTTACGGTAAAACAAGATGCATAACGAGGACGGATTTTACTCGCCTATCTTTGGCTTTTTACTCCGTTCTGAATAGGGTTCCTAACTATAGAAATTTGCGATTTTATGGCTTGAAACTGTCTCCACAAAGTTCAGGGCAAATCAAAGGAAAATCAAGTATCCTTTTGAGAGTTTGAAGATGAACTGTTTTGTCTCAACCCAACCTATTTGAAGCTGTGTGGACATACCGGAGCTCAGCTTTTAACTTAAAGACGTTGTATATAGACGTTAACTCTATGGACTCGTCCTCTTGGCCCAACCTACCCTCAGGGATGCGATCCGTGCGACTTAATTTTTTGTATGGAGGAGGAGTCACGTCACGTTTTTTTCTTATTAGGAACTCGTCTTGTGCGCCTCTTGCTTGCGTTATTCGTATGTCTATTTCATCTCCTCATGGTAACATGCTGCACTCGCTGTTGATTCCTTTACTGGTAAACACAGTCACGATGTTGCCCTTAACTTGGATGATCCACTCTAAATCGCCTGTCATGTTTGGGAGCTTCTCACATGCTTTTTTATTAAACGGACATTTTAAAGTCTCACATCTTTTTCTACATTTCCCCACATTTCTGGTTATCTTTTGTCCTATAGCAAAACAAGGAAACGAAGATTAAACAACTGCGTTTAGGCCATCGTGTTGGTACAAAGACGAATCGCCGAACGAAGCGCTTAAAACGTTCTATCGAACATGTTAACAAAGCGGAAGAGCGAAAAGCTGCCAAGGGGAATAACATGGCCAACTTTGTAGCGATCAGCTTGTTGCATGACCCCCAAGCGTTTGCTGAGCGCCTATTCAAAAAATTGGAGCGGTGCACAGATCGTTTTGAAATTCGTCTCTTTATTCTGGATCTGGTCACGCGATTGATCGGGCTGCACAAGCTACTGGTACTCAATTTATATCCGTTTATTCAACGGTTTTTGAAACCGCACCAGCGAGGTTGGTTGTTCTCATTCCGAATTCCCCTAGTTTCACTTTGTTTGGTTCGTTCTTCGATTAGGCTAGCTGGTTGGAATGTACCTCACAAACTGCCTCGCCACACTGCAGGCAATATGGAATGAAGTTGTCCTTGGTTTCCGCCACTCCAGCCCAATTAATTTCTGCTTGATCGATTTCTTAGTCCCGAATGTAGATTCGTTCGGCTGGTTGAAGCCTGCGATTATTTGTTTTGGATATCGAGCCAATTGTGTTAAATGACCGTGATTTTGAATTAAACGGCCCAGTGTGTTCAACCAGCTGCCAAGCACGTTGTAAACATCAGTGAACTTGACTGACCAAACGTCGTCTCTATCCACTTTGCACGAGATTGGTTGGGCCCGTTGCAGTTCCTCTCTTGGGTGATGTGGAATGGTATGTTGTCATCTGCGCCTAGGCCAGAGCCAGTGGTCTAGCATTAGTGAGACTGAAATCAGTTGCTGTTTGGTCATACATGTTATATAGTAATATTTTGTTTTATTTATATTGGTATCTTAGAGAAAAGATCTGTAAGGCAATCCGGAAAGGACAGATGTGATGTGGATTCTCTCGGTTTTATCATGTTAGTCGGTGACCGAAAGCATTACACGATTACCCTATTGTCTGGAGACCACCGGTTCGAATCCATGTAGGCGCGGGCGAATTCGTGCCTACGCACGACTTGGTGGTCACAGCGCAGTGTTGCTACCGTGTGTCGGCGTTCTAATGATGCCTTTATGTTGTCGGAAGCAGGGCAATTTGACACCTATGACCGATAATTTATTTGTTCTATAATATACCATGGCAGAATTAGATAGGGTATGTGCGGTATGTATGATGACTGGTACATAGTATCTTTGCAACGACGCGTCGCTAGAACTGGTCCAGTGTCCATGAATTTTGGTACAGCGGTGATTTTCAGTAATTTTCGTAGCGCAGCGAAACCGCAAAGTTACCTAATACCCTGCTGTTCACTGGTAGCCTGTTCCTTCTTATACGTATCCTTGAAGGAAGGAGCTATGAGAAACATTGAATCGATCTTTTGGTATAGTGATTGAATAAAATTTGGCTTTTAATAGATAGCAAGTGACTGGTCAAGTGAGTGGGGCGATCACTTTTACAATTTTTGTTCCTCATCCTAGTTACCTCTAGCTGGAGTGATTTGACGAGCATCGGTATGCTCGAGAGTTCTCTACAAACTCGCTATGGGTTGATCACTCAGTTCGCCTTGTGGCCTGTCTGGTGGGTAAGATACCATCAACATACTACCCCGCATCGGTATGACCATCAACTCATCAAGGGGTGTATTTGGCGACCATTTTTATTACGAATGAAGACAATCGACGCTTATCGAGAATGGCTACCCAGAGAATTTTATTTATGCCAATATGAGACGAAACAGGCATACACCTACGGTCCTGACGGCGGAACAAAAATCTGTTTTCCTGCAACTGCCTTGCAGAGATGAGATAGTATCAGAGCATCTATCCCGCCTTCTCTCGTTCACACTCAAGAATACATTCCCAGCGACGAGGCTGCAAACCCAGTTCACCACTAGCCCAATGGTGAGAGTAAACCTCAAGGATGTACTGCCTGTCCACAACAAATCTATGTATATTTACTCCACCTGTTCCTGTGGAGCAGGTTACATTGGTCATACGACAAGACGCTTATCCGAAAGGGTGAGGGAACACCATCCAGATCTGCTTATGATATGGAGGCCAAAAGGCCACTCACTCTGCCATCGCCTCGCATCTTGCGAATACGGGTCACGCCACCAAGTCGACTATTTGGTTCAAAGTAATCTATCAGACCCCAGAAAGTCGATCAAAGTATTTCCGTAAGCAGATATTAGACGCCGCAGAAGCCAGCGCCATTCGGTTGTACGAACCAGCGCTGTGCACGCAGGAAAGGTCCACTCACGCGTTGAGCCCACCTTGGTCAGGACGGACTGCAGTTGACCTGTGCAAGCGTGTGACTACCATTGTAACCTGACCGACGGTTTGTCATAGCGCACTAGAATTAGTTTGCCTGGCTGACGACCTGTTGGGTCTGTATACAAATTGATTTTCATGTGATTGTAAAAGCCTGATGAGGAATTACCGAGAAATATATATATATATATATATATATATATATATATATATATATATATATATATATGATTTGACGACCTCCGTATCCGGATTTCCCTGTCGCTGTGGCCTCCATGAGGACAGCCACAGGACGCCTGCGCCTACAAAGGGACCATGGGTGGCTTGTGTTGCACCACCCACAGTTCCACTTACACACCTCGTATCCGGTGTAAACCCGAAGGAATAAGACCAAGAGGCATGTGGATGGGCGCCACGTTTCATCAACAGAGGCGGCCCACACTCTTTCAACAAGAGAGCAGAAGTATTCCGGCCTATTTGGGAAATCATGCACTCGAGGAGTACACATGGCGGTGGCTCGACCGTAGCGCGTTTCACACCGGATGGAACCACTCTTTGAACCTGGCACCGTCACGAGGACGGTGCACCCTGTCGCCTCCAGCAACGACTCACTGTCTCCTGGAGCCAGTATGGACGAGCTCGTGGGTAATAGACAGGTAACCACCTTGTCAACATTCACATCAGGCACAGCCACACCGGGGAGCTCAGACAACCTACTTCTAAAATGCAAGAACACTTAGCACGCAGGCAGACGTGCCACATACGTCGCCTTATTGGCCTGGATTAGTAAATCGAATGGGAGCGAACTCATGATGTTTCTATTCCGTGTGCAATAGCGCCTTCTCCTGCACCTGAGCAACCGTGCTTTTGATCAGTCCACGGAATTCTTATCAACAAATAGACCTTGGATTAACGACACTTGAAATCAACATGAGTTTGTCATAAACGCATCTTCTTCATGTTCTGGTAATGTCAGTTTCGGTTTGCCCTAATGCCGCTTTCCTGCACTAAGTTGGCCGTACAAAAGCGATTTGCGTATCCTCGTCGAATTCATTCCGTATACATATGTATATGGATTGGCTTCATCCGTGTCTAATGGCAGTTATACTACAACCTATGCACATGTATTTCTTTAGCTTTAATTGTTTCTCAGCTACGTTCGGTTCCAGAACATGTGTCACAAGGCGAGTGAGTAGGATGCGAGCAAAAAGCGTGCCGACGCAGATAAGTTGATAACCCGATAATTGTTGGTATATTGCCTACTACCCTTTCCCTTGTACAGTGGAATCACAAGAGCATCTTACAACTCTGAAATCACTTGCTCTTCCATCCAGACGGCTTCCACCAAACGATGGAGAGCGCGCATCATAACTGGTCCTTCGTTCTTCAGTATTTCCGGAGGTATGCCATCAGCACCAGCGCATTTCCCGTTCCGTATTTGAGCAAGCGCTCTCTGTGGTTCGTACATTCCCGGTGTGTCCTCCTGTTCGGATAGTACACTGTGGTGTTGCAGCCTGTGCAGTGTGTCCCATTCCACCTCGGATCCATTGTTCAGGAGGGTGTCAAAGTGTCTGTGCCACAGCTGCAAGAGCTCATCAGATTGTGTGTATACGGCGCCAGTCTCAGTCTTTCTCGGTCTTCATTTGCTGCACAGTGGGCCCGTATACTGCCTTCATGGAGTCGTAGAACTCTTTTTGTTGACTGTGTTCAGCATAGGGCTCCATCTGCGCAGCTTGTATTGTCCACCACGCATTTTGCACCTGACGCATCTCTCCAGCTAGCAGCTGCCTTCGAATGTGGCGCAAATTATTACTCTTCCTTGCGTTGTTAGGGTCAACCTCGGATGCGATGAAAGTTGCGTTTTTCACTCGTACTAATGGCTCAATCGTCATAATGTTTCAGTCGAACCAGTCGGGTCGCTTACAGTTTGTACACCCAATCGTCTCCTCCGGAGCAATGGTCACCTGTTTCTTCAAGTGGTTCCACAGGACGCTGACAGAAGCCGAGGAGTCTTCTTCGCCGAGGCCGGTTCTTATGGCATCCTACAGTGCTTGTCTCTTTTCTGCACTCGAATGGACGCGGACGTTGTACTTCCTCCGATTGCTACTCGATGGAAAGTATGACAATTTGTAAACATTTATGAAGAAATTCATGCGCATCAGCTTATGCTCAGTCCCACATTCAGCTCCACGCCTTACCCGCGTTATGCGCACTTCATGCATGTCTCTTTGATGTAAGATGACGTTGTCCAGCAAGTGAGCGTGACCACTTCTTGGTTGGGTCCATGTAGCAATGTCACTAGCACACAGAGCGAACTGAGTGTTCGAAGTAGTCAAGCCATGTGTGGCACACAATAAAAGCAAACGCTCTCCGTTTCCATTGGCTGGCCCAATCCCGTGCGGCCCAATCACCTCAGCCCACACTGTGGCATCACGCCCTACACGTGCATTGTAGTCACCTATCAGGAATAGTCGGTCATTCATTAGCACAGAGCTTATAACAGGGGCCAATTGTGAGTAGTACTGATCTTTCATGTCATCCGGATAACTCATGGTGGGACCATACGTGCTAAGAAATCTTGCGAACTTACATCTGAGGCATACACGAAGGGACATCAACCGTGGGCAGATGCCAATCGGCTCCCCCGTCAAATGGTCATTCAGGCGGTCAGTAATTGCAAATCCGACGCCTTGTTCACTTGCTGCTGTGTCGAGATTACCAATCCAGTAGAAAGTGAACCCAACACCATCCTCTCGTAATTTACCTTGATCAGCCAGTCGGATCTCACTCAGCGCTGCGATATCAATGTCATACCGCGCAAGCTCCATGGCGACTAATGCGGTTCGTACCGTAGGTCGATGATTAGTGTTCCGATCGTGCAGTGTACACACATTCCAGCTTCCAACCTTGAGTGTTTGGCGTGTTGGCCTGCGGCCACGTGTGGCTCTTGATGTCGATGACGGAGATATCGTTGGATTTGGCTCGTTCGGGGGTTGGGATAAAAAGATTGGTTGAGGCGAGATGGGGACAGGGACGGAGGAATGTGGAGTG